GTGAGAGGCAGAGGAAGGAAAAGGAGTAAAGTCATATCTCCCAGGGGGGGAGTCCCTCCTTCTTTCTGCAGGACAGACAGACAGACAGACAGATAGACAGACAGATAGACAGACAGACAGACAGACAGACAGACAGACAGACAGACAGACAGACAGACAGACAGACAGACAGAGAGGGGTGTGGAGGAGAGTAGTGGGCTCAAAATACTGGTACAGAAGCTGACTGAATAGAGAAGCTGCTTAAAATGTTGCTGTAGCTGCTCTTTTCTTTGACTTTTGTGGGATACTAAACAGAATACAGTATAAATGAAATACACATACACTGTTGAAAATTACTGTTGTTTTATTGATATATAATTTAGAGCCAAGAAAAATAGTGGTATAATGGTAGAGAAATATAAAACACCAGCCTCAAATCAGTGTGCACAACAGTCATCTATGTGTTCCATTTAATTATTAACCTTGTTTTATGAAATAATATATTGTATATTGTTTCGAGAAAACCTGCAGGGACAGTGGGAAAAACCTGTAAACATAACACTGACACTATTTCAAGTTGATATAGTCCAGAGTCCAAACATGGAGCAACGTTAGTATTCATTTGGAGTCATGTTTGTGGACACTTGATGAATGTAAATCCAGTATTCACTCCCTCACTCCTTTAAGCTTCCTGTCTAGTCCTGTGGGAAACATCTGACTCTTTAACTCCACTATGTTCACAGCTAATCTCTAACTTTGCCTGTCTGCTGTTGGTGCTGAACAGGTAGTGCAAAGTGGGTTTAACAGTACTTTCTCACTGGAAGAAGCTGCCTGCTGTGTCTGGAAACTATGGAAAGAATGAACCAAAAAATAAAGTTCCCTGCCCTAAAGTCAAAACAATGACCTGAAAGACACAACAATGCTCCCTGGAACAGAGGGAACCACAGAGTTGGTGGTTACTCTGTGTTCATCACGACACGTTACCATTTTCACATCTTTCACGTCCTTTAAGCCAATGTTAACGTAAAAATAATGTAACACCAGTCACATGATGTTACAATGTTTTAGCCAAAAAAAGAGACATTACAGTTTTCATTTTGATATTTCTATCTTTAAAATGTATCAGTTAAAACACAGGAACTATTTCGTCGGAGTTCCACGACTCTAACCTGATATATGTTTGATAGTAGCAGATCACTGCTACTATCAAACATATGTGATGATTGATGAATGGGCAGATAGAGGAAGAGTGGTTGTTGTACCGCTTGTTTTTTTGAGGCTGTACTAGACTGCACATTTTTTTAAGCAAACCATTTTTAAATGAGAACACAGTAAATTGTGTCTCTGGAAATACTAATCCTCCATAACAGCACTGAATCAAGATTCTATTTGTCTTGGTAGATTTGAAAGACGCAAGTCAGACTAAGCAAGGTTTGATCCATTGCTAGGCCTCTTTCAGTTCAAATAAGGTGCTAAAACGTGATGATTTGCATTGGAAGCAAATGAACTCAGACTTGCAAGCACAGACATACACACACACACACACACACACACAGTAGCTGTCTTCCAGATGTGACTAGTGTGTGTGCTCTGCGCCACCCCTAATCTCGTGGATCTCCTATGGAGTCTCAGATGGCTGGTAATAACAAACAGGAAGAGGACCATCATAAATGTGGAGATCAAACACACACACACACACACACACACACACACACACACACACACACACACACACACACACACACACACACTAACACAAACACTTGGCTGTAACTCTGGTCCCATGGTTCTCTCTCCAGCAGTGAGCTCATTAAAATGTGCGAGGCGACCCCTCTCGTCTTCATGCACTCTGATCTCTCCTCCATCTCTGCTCTCATTTCTTCCCCAATCTACCTTTTCCTTCGATCCAAAATATCACACACTCAGAGTGACTTCACGTCACTCTCTCCCCACGCCAGTATCAAGAAATCCAGCTAATGACAGTGGATTAGATCACACTATGGTTTAAAATACTGATTCAGTTACAACTGATCGGCATGCATGGTGTGTACTTGAAGTATGTGTCTGTGTGTGCATGTGTGTGTATGTGTATCGGGGGGGGGGGTTGGCTCTACTTTAATGAATGGTTGCCGGGTAGATCAGGAGGCGTGAGGGAGGAATTTGTTAATTATGAATGGAACACTTCTCTCTGGATGTAAACAACACACAGTGTAAGTGTGTGTGTGTGTGTGTGTGTGTGTGGTTTGGCAGTGTATGGGTATGTAGCATATGTGAGTGCGTGCTGGTTTGATTCTGCAGAGGAAATCCATCCCAGTGACAAGCTGAGGTGCTCATGAGCAGGGCATTCTGGGTTGATGACACCAGGTCAGCACGCCATGTTGAAACTAGAACCAGAAGAAATGAGACACTACAGTTGATTTTCAATTGAAGCAATTTAACCAATACACTGCGTATCAAAATCTGTCAGCCTAAACAACAGGGTGATTGAATTGGTTGATCTTTAAATGAGAAATAAAAAGCAAGATCTGTTCCTCATATGACCAAGACTGGACCAAAACCTTGAATATGGCTGGAGAGTGTTGTATTTGCATTCTGCCTAGTGTCAGCGGGTTTCAGCCCTTTCTGTGTTTGCTTCTCTCCCACTCTCTGTGCTCACATATACAGTGTTTTTATACAGCTAATTTCCCATAAAGCTGTTCTCATTGACATGTTTTTGTGTTTCTGTTGACAGACAATGAAACACGGCCCATAAGACTAGATGTTAACCTGCAGTCACTTCCAAGCCATTTCCAAGCTGCTCGTAAAACCCCGCTGTTATAACCGCAACGCCATCTGATAAAATCTTCATACACATAAGTTAAAGAAAACTGCTATGCTGTGATTTCAGCTGTATTTATTTGTAAAATGATCAGTCAGAGAGAGAGTCAGAAGCTCATTCACATCAGCTGCCGTGCGGTCAGTATTGAGAGAGGGCAAGTCCAACGCCACGCCTGTGGGGCAAAACTGGTGACTCTCTTTTATGGAAAGTAGCTAAGGTTTGTCCAAAAAGTCTAGATTTGTCTCTAGGTGCCTTTTTGAAAAAAAAATAAAAAAGTGGAAGAGCAACAACCAATAGGGAAACTCAGCCAACCGACCAATGGTGTAACCTCATCACTCAGTTGGTCAGTCCGTCCGTCCCCTGCTGTTGCGCTGCAGCCAAACAGCATAAACAATTAATCATACGTTCTCTTTTGTTCCTTTAAATACATGACTTGTAACCTATATCAATTATATATATATGCCCTACCCAGTGTCCCTAGCAATTGCAAGCTTCAGTGCCAATGCAGGAAATTGTAGCGGGGGGGGGGGGGGGGGGGGGGGGGGGGGGGGGGTAGAGGTGCAGAGGTGGTGGTAGTGGAATGGTTTGTAGCACGTCTGACTTCATGCAGGAAACTGGAGTTTACGTTCCAGCCGTTGTCAGCCATTTTATAAACTAGAACCTAAACTTTGACCAAATGTTTTAGTTGTCTAAGCATAACCATACCCCGACTTTAACCATAGTTTATTTGACGTAACCAGCGTCTTCCCATAACCTTGACCACACCATAGTTGACAAACAGCAATATTGTAGAAAGTAAGAATTTCAGATTGTCATCATTGAACTACAGAAAAAAATATGTCATCACTGAATTTAATCCAGGGTTTTGTAGAGTTGTACAAAATGTTGATATTCTTGCATTACAATAGGATTGATGCATCGTATAGTTTACTATCAATTTAGGTTCTTCAGATTTCTGTCCATTCTTACAGTCTTCACATAAGGTGACCAATCTAGTGTCTTTGTGAGGCTGTGCTCAAGTGAAGTATTGCTTTGAGCTAAATGCTCACAGTGACAGTGCTAACATGCTGATGTTTAGCAGGAGACATTTACCATGTTCCCCATCATGTCTTATCAAGTTTGATCTGATGACGTCACTAGGGTGTTGTGGAACCAAACTTCTCACAAGCACACTAAAGAAAATGGATTTTTGGGTTTAAATTACAATTAAATTACAAATTATTTATTACATTTACATTATTACATTACATTATTTATTACAAATTGTGAGAATTGGCATAAGTTGCTGAGCATTGCTGAGCATTACATCCTATTTATTCTGAAATTGTGTTTTGAATCATTTTGGAGAAGTAACCACCTCCCCCTTTTTTTTCTGACACAGGATTCTTCAGTTGTGGTGAAAATATTAATCTGGTGCATAACATATTGGAATAACGCCCCTTCCTCTCTCTGCACTCCCTGCATTTTACTGTGTAAGCCTTTGTAAGCCCTTATGATAAACAGTGTCTCCCGAGGAAATCCCATTTGGCTCCTGTTTAATCAGAATTTTCCAGTGTGTACATTTCAGTGGCAGCTCTGATTATGGTATTCTCTAGGCACTGTATACTGTATAAGCCTTACTTCTGTGACAAAGTCTTTAAGCACATAGTATGATAGTATGATTTTTAGCTGGTGTTCCACCTGTACCGCAGCTCTGAGCACCTTGTTTGGAAATTAGCACTGTCTGCCATCACTTGGAGTGACTTTAACTCTGGGGTCAGCTTTTTCCACACGGATCTACTCTGCCTTAAAATAGACTGGTGTTTACACTTGCAGGTTAGCAGCTCACGAAACTCGGGGCCCAGAGCAGTTGACTCTCCCACAAACACACACTCACAAGACACTACTTTATTTGGACGAAGCCGGGAGTGTGTGTAGTGTCTGTGAGAGGCAGATCGGTGTCTTGTGTAAATATTGGCTGAATGTAAAAGGAGTTGTTCATCTATTTGAAGGATACAATGCTTTTACCAGCATTTACTTTACACGACATACTAATAGCTATAATGTAAATACTGATCACATCTTCATGTGGTCAACAGATAGGGCCTTTTGTGGTAGATGTGCAATGACACACTGCAATAGCATCTGTATGTATGCTGTGTGTGTGGATGTCTATGTCCGTGTGTGTGTTTTATATATGAACTTGGCTGTTTTGTGTTTCCAGGGGCAACCAGAGATATTGGTTCAGCTCTGACCAGGATGTGCATGAGGCATCGCAGCATTGAGGCCAAACTTCGCCAGTTCACCAAGTAAGATCCATGTCCATCCTTGCTTTCTTCCTTCCTTAATTCCTTTCCTTCTCACTATTTGCATCCTTCTTAACTTCCTTCTTTTCCTTCCTTTCCTGACCTTACTACTCTGCAGCCCAGTATTTTTCAGAAGTCATAAAATGGTAGCGCATCTAGAGCTGACCTTGTTTTCAGGGTTATGATGAGACAGATGTTTGATGAGGTTTTCTTGTCATCTGTGTGGATCTCATTAGGAACATTGCTCTGTCTCTCCATATTTAAATGACTGTAAATGAATACAACCATTGGCACGCAACACAGACGACTATGGAAACCTCAACAAGAGTCTCTTTTCAACCAATGTTTGCCCTTTCCTTCATTCTCCATACTCTCTAATGAATTTTCCACAGAAAAAGCTATTACATTGATGGTGATGATAATGTTGATCTATGGCCATGATAATGGCAGGGGTCCCCTTTGAAGATGGAGTCAATCTTAAAGCTATTATGTGTCTGTTCCAATAAACCTGCATTTACTGTATATGTGAGCATTTGTGTGTATGCATGTGTGGATGGGAAGGGGGGGGCAACAGATACTAAAATTATGAAGGGGAACGACACGTGGAGGGAATTTATATAATGATCTTGTTCCACAAATACACTATAGCTTCTCATTTTCAGTGGCGGCTTGGTGGTTGGAATATGGGGGTCTCTGCTGTTTGTACTGAGTCGGTCTCTTGTCAAGACACCACACCAGGAAAATATTTGCCCAATGATTGATTTTCTATGAAACATTCATTTGTGTATCTTCCTCTTAAATCTCTTGTCTCTCCCTACAGCGCTTTGATGGAGAGTCTGATCAATCCTCTCCAGGACAAGATTGAGGACTGGAAGAAGACAGCCAACCAGCTGGATAAAGATCATGCAAAAGGTACTCACACACACACACACACACACACACACACACACACACACACACACACACACACAGAGCGCTGGGCAGAGTACGTATTATAAACTCTTGTCTGGTAAATGCAATAATGGCCGAAGCTCTTGTCAAGCGACAGTCACCACCACCCACTCCCTGCGAGAAACCACATTTGGCGGCAGAGAAAACTTACAAGTAGCCCCTTTAACTCAGACCTGGATCTTTCCCCAACCTTAACCAAGTGCTCTGAGAGTCTAAACATAACCATAAAAATAATTAATAATGCTGTAGTCACTATAAATGGATATTGTACTGCAAGATCAGATAACAAATACATTGTTTATGAAGATTTCACTAATATGTTCAGTTTGTTACATTGCAAAATACCAGTGAGACAGCAAAATACAATCCAGGTCCAGTTTGATTAATATGTCCAAGAGTTTTAAGACTTATCAGACCTCTGTTTGTAAACCTGTGGAACTTGAAGCATAGGACAGTCAGTGGAGTGAGTTTGGTCAGTTCAGCGTAGATGTTATACAGAGTGGTGAATGTCCAATAAGGGCTTTACAGATGAAAAGGTACAAGTGTTTATCACGCCTCTGCGTCAGAGAGAACCAACTTTGATAAGAAACTCCTTCATGGGGTCATACAAAATCTACTGTACTTTTGGTCCTTGATTCCCTCTGTAGAGAATCAGGAAGTCCCCTCTGTAGAGCAGTAGATTTGTAGTTGTAGTAGTATCCTGTAATCCAAACAGGTTAGGTGTTAAAGCACCATGAGACTCGTTTGTATGTATTATAATAGACTACCTCATGCTTTCATGTAATTCTTACCAATTTCACACCTACTGTACTGATAGCCACAAACCAAAGATGATGTTCAATGCTGATCTGACTTATATCTCTTCAGATCAGTGTTTTCCTCCGAGCAATGTAAATCGGTATCAGCAAGCTCTTGGCTGTGCAGCCTTTCTATTTAAATCGATATTGGAAATGCAAGATAATCTGAGTTCACACAGAGGGCTTTACATTCCTGTCACTAAAGCATCTCTGTTCATCCTGTTTCAAGAGTACAAGAGGTCACGCCACGAGATCAAGAAGAAGTCATCTGACACCATGAAGCTACAGAAGAAGGCTCGTAAAGGTAACAGTCAGCAGTTCAACAGTCGAGCTCATGCTCCCCTCACATTTGACAGGATAGACAGAAGGTCACACTAAAGGTCAAATTATGTCTGACAAGGTCAATGAAACCCCACTAGGATCAAAAGTCAAGATGTTTTTACCACAGTTATCTTCATGATCTTGTCACTGTTGCTAGTAGTGACAGTGAATGGTAAATTAACACCAACAACAAAATTGGCCAACACTAGATCAAATGTTGATGGGGTCCATGATAAAGGCATCACAAAATACAGTGATTACGTTCACTGAGGTCAGGGACCGTAGACTTTACACAGTCTAGGTCAAAAGAATTGTAGGTTTATGTTTCCATCTAGTGGTGATCAACAGTATTGCAGGTCTTTTCTCATTCGTCCTGAAACACTTCACTCAGTGATGCAGCAACCAATAAATAGTGCTTTCTTTCAGGAACAGCTTCCATTCAGTTGCCAGGCAGATGAATACATAGATGTAAGATGTCTGTAAAGTAAATTTCAAATACATAGTTTTTAATGTATCCTGTCTTTTGTTAAATGCAACTCCACGACTTTAACTCTGAGTAAAAGACTAGTAATGAATGGAATGCAATAAAGGAATGAAATGAAATAAAATAATACAACTATATAACAGTGTATTAACAATACAATAACGTTCAATAATCCAACACTGGGTAAAACTGACGGTGAAACAATGCAGTGCCCTTTGCTGTTATGCTTGCAAGTGACTGGTTAGCCCTGTGAGTGCTGCCGCTTGTTGGTATTATTATTTCTGGATTTAGCTTTTGGTTGCAGCAGCAGTGTTATTTTTGCTCTAACCTGTGGCACTGTGGCTGTCTTGTGATGGCTTCCTTATACTAACCTTAACAATGAGTTCTGCTATTTCTGCTCTCCCCCCCCCTTTCCCTCTCTCTCTCTCTCTCTCTCTTTTGCTGTCTCCCCTTCTCACTGCTGCCCTCTCTCTGTCTCTCCCTCCCTGTGGTATTTCTCCCCCCTGTAATAGAGATCCAGGGTAAGTATCAGCCTGTCGCTCGCTACAGCTCTGCTGCATCACCTCCATCCTTACTCACATTCCCAACTTTCTCCTTCAGATTAACATACGTGCATGATTGTAGAGGAGGCTAAAACTCAGCTTTATTCAGATTATTACTACATTTGTGATACAATGGTTCCACATGGTCATGGAAAGGTTTCTGTGTACATTAGAGAATTGTTCTTGAGAGCCTTGTATGGTAAGTAACCCACCAGGGGGCCCCAAAAATGAGCTGTGGGCCCTATATTTTCCCCACATACTGTGCATGCGTTGTAGTATTTAGTAATTCATGTTTAGTTTGTGGTAATTTGATTGCTGTAAGAATACATTTGTGAAACAACATAGGCACAATATTAACCAAAATAACAAAAGCCTTAAAGCTAGATTTTTTCTCAGGGCCCCACTAAAAGACGGGGCCTGGAGATCAGATAACACATGCAGATGTTTTCTTAATTCCATTACTGTTTTTGTTTTATCCTGAGAATATGTATCTTAAGTCTTGAGAGACCCCAGGACCATATTACATAGTCCCATCTGATTCCTTCATTTGATTCAGCTAAGGCCTGCAGTCCTCAAGATATTTGTTTTTAACAATGTCTGGTGTCAAAGTGTCAAAACTGATTCAGTCAAAATTTGAGAATTAAAACAGACAACAGATGTTTTCTTATCTTACACTTAATTTGATATTGGAAGGGTTTTGATAAGGGTTACTCAGAAAATGAACATGTGCCTGAAGATGATGAGGATTAGATTTTGTGTCATGTGATCAGTCAGATATTTCAGTAATTATGTTTTATAGTTATGAAAATAGCATCTCAGAGGACTTGAGTTTAGCTGCAGAGCTGTGGGCAACAATGTTCAGTGCACACAGCCGTGTTGCAATGGCCACAAGACAGTGATTGTGATTAGTGATTACTTTGCTGACAGCAGTTACAGGCGCCTGTATATATGAAGCACAGTTCAACACAGGAGCATAAACATAAAATATCTTATTTCAAAAGGTATCAATACGTTTTGAAAATAAATTTTTTTGGAATCTATAAAAAAAATAAAGGGCAAAAATGAATACTATAATACACTGCACAGTATTAAGTTTACAAGCATTGTTATATGACTTTGTAGCTCAGTTTGTGTTCCTGAAGGACGGGGTCTCTAAAGGTCAATTTGAAGGGGTAAACTTTTTCTAATTATATTACCACAAACTAAATGTCACGTGTTGAAGCTGGAACTTTCAGGCCTCCTGAAGGTCTGGGGCTTTGGGACAGTCTAGTAGGTAAAGCAGCTTTGCTTGTAAAAGTCATCATCCTACCATCTACAAGCTCCATTTAATGCATCAAATATTTCTGAGTACATTCTTTGTTGATTTTGTGATCTGGTGATTACTGACAGGAGATCGTGTAACAGTGTCAAAACGATCTTATATTTTCTCAATTGAAAAATGAATGAAACCAGCTACCATGACTTCTTTAAAAAAAAAAAAAAAAGAACAACTAGTTGCAACACTAAGGAAGCTTCGCGTAATGTTTTGCCTCCTGGTGACAGATTAGAGTTCAGCTTGTTTAGTTTCATAGTTTGAGAAGTTGGAGTTGTGCAGTTTCACTTGCATGATGTAATTTCTTCTTCGTTGACTCCTGCATGACTTTTTTTTGTTGTCACACACCGCAGGCTTTCATTCTGCTCTCATGCTACCGCTCCTCTCTTGTCCTCTCTTTCATTCTGTCTCTGGTACTGCCGACATCTCTGCTAAAAATTTTTTTTTTTGCATGCTGTAACACTACAAAGAGTTATTTCATATTTTGCCTTCCGTTCATTGCATTTTATGTTAACAGTAGATAGGATTAAGATTTTCTACACCATATGTATGCACCTATGTCTTACCTTATCATGTGATTGCTGTGCAATTATAGCACGTAGCAAAGTTTAAAGACAGAAACACATTATTTATGTTTTGGCTCTGTACTGTCATGAGGTTGGGTGTGGACTGACAGTGTTAGAGAGGGAAATTGTACACTTTCACACATTGTGGTCAGGTGTTTTTGGATACTTTTAGGCCATAATAGTAGTTGACACACGGATATATCACAGAAATACAGCAGTCTTTAGCTAGATTCAGTGTCTCCCCAGGTCGGACAAATGCTGCTGTACAACAAATAAGTACACGGGAGCCTCTTTTTTTAAAAGAAGCACTCTGCCACTTTATTATTAAAAGCTGCTATAATAATGATATCATTTTATTAACAACACATCAAATGATCTGTAATGTGAAAAGATTCACATATAATATATCACACATATTCAATTAATACCAACTCTATAGTGTCCCTTAGTTCTATAACAAAACTTCACACAGACAATACCTGTGTAGAGCCTTACACAGCCAGGTTTTGTGTGTACAGTTTTAAGTTGGGAGACATGAGTTGACTATTGAGCCACAATGCCAACTGACCACTGTGTTGTGTCTCTAGCTTTGGCAATATTGATCTCTGCTTTCCCCACTTTGGTCCAGAGTGAATATCTCATCAGCTATTGGATTGCCATCAAAGTACAGATTAATGGTCCCCAGATGATGTTCTCTGAATGATTTGGTGATCCTCTGGTTTTTCTTCTAGTGCCATTGTGAGGTTTACCTTTTTGGCTTTAAGTAAAATGTTTTGCCATCTATATGATGGATTGCCATGAAATTTGGTGGAGATATTCATGACCCCCAAGGGATGAATCTTTATGACTTTAGTATATATGTTGTCACTTATATAGTGAAATATCTCAACATCTACGGGATTGGTTGGTATAAAATTAGGTACAGGTATTCATGATCCACAGAGGATGAATCAATAACTTTGGTGATTGTCTGACTTTTGCTCTGGTGCCATCATCAGGTCAAAATTAGAATTTGACAAGTGATACAAGTTAAAACAGTGTAATTCCACCCAATTTTAAGGCTTTTCTTCCTTTATTTAAACCCAGACTGAACTCATATAAATGACACTATGTGTCAAAATAAGGATATTCTTCATTGACCCTCATGTGAAGATTCTGTCAGGTACAAATCCTAAAAAATAAAGTAAGTTTACATAGTATAAGGAGGGGAAATTAAACTTATTTTTCTCAGTTGCAGCCTTTCCAACAATCTCACTTACTTTGACATAGAGTTTTTGCATGTTTTTTAATGTTGCTTTGTATCTGCTGGATCTAAGTTCATCATAACAAAATAAAAGGTTTATGTGTCACTGTTGTTCACAGCTTTTTTCTGCTGCCCCCAAGTGGCCAAAAAAATGCGCTATTGCAGGTTTAGAGGCTACACTACAGGGAGGTTCCTACACTGCTGCTTGATCTGAATTGCCCCCAAATAGCTGAACGTGATCAAATTTGGTCAGTTTATTAGGACAAAGCATATTACAGCACGTTATTTAGAAATCAGCATCTTAATTTATTGGATTTAGGTCATCAAACTATTGCATTTCTAATATAATGACATGTGATATAATATAACATGATGCCCTTAAGTTCAGATTCCACATTACAGTTTGAAAAAGTATGGAGCCAAAACATCAAACAAGGTGTTGCTGTACTTAATCTCATTCAGTTTGAGTTTCATAATGTTTGTGGTTTGATGGAATCAGAGGGTGGTGAAGAGGTATCCCATCAAGCCTATATCATATTAATAAAATACCTAGACACATTTTTTCTCCCTTTCACTGATACTATCTGCACCTCCATCTTTCTTTCCTACTTCCTCTTCATCCACTTTCTCTGATGAAACACTTCCTTCCTTCATACCTTTCTTCCGTCATGTTCTCCTTGACCTCCCTGTCTCACTCTCTTCTATCCTCCCCGTCCCAGGGCGAGGGGACCTGCAGCCTCAGCTGGACAGTGCCATGCAGGATGTCACCGACATGTGCCTGTTGATGGAGGAGACGGAGAAGCAGGCGGTGCGCCGAGCCCTGGTGGAGGAGAGGGGTCGCTTCTGTACCTTCATTGGCTTCCTTCAGCCAGTCGTGGTGAGGGGATAGAGGAGGAGAGGTGGTGATAGAGTTGGAGCTATGGTCTTCTATGGTTGCTGAGCTGCTCGCCGACTCAAGGCTTGTTGGTTTTGTGATGCCAGAATACAAAAAGTGACGTAGTATGTGTCAGTCTCACATGTTAACAAGAATGTGACAGTATCATCATCATTGAACCTGAAGCTAGAGTAAAATGAGCTGACACCACCGAACAATGAATCAATGCGAGTTTGTTGGAATCTACAGAGGCATCACATACACTAGCCCAGCCGTGTGGTCCGCAAGCAACCCGTAGTGTTCCGCAAGTAAATTACCAGGAACATCAGACCAAAAGAGTCAGGCATGTTTTCTTTGTAATCACACATGATGGGGCTACTGTCTCCCTCTCTGATGCCCCAACATAAGAAACATAACATATAAAAAAGAAATTTTAAGATATAGTCCCTTGATTGGCATGTCCCAGCTACTGTACCTTGATGCTGTTGTACGGTGACAGCATGTCATCCTGTAGCTGCCACTGTATTGCAGTGTATTTGGGATGAAAGAAAAATAAATCTGATAGGAATTGTTTCTATTTCTACCTTGTATTTTTTTTAGAACGGAGAGATTGCCATGCTGGGAGAGATCACTCACCTCCAGGCCATCATTGATGACCTCACTGTGCTGACAACCGATCCTCACAAACTGCCCCCTGCCAGTGAACAGGTGGAACACGCGCACACGCCCACAACATGTGCAGAACACATACACTGTTGCTCATAAAGTTGGAATAAAATATTTTTTGCCTCTTTCCATGAAATGATTGTGACAGTGTGATTTATTTCATTTCACCTAGGTAATTGGGACACATAATGTAATCATTGCACCTGGTCAAAAGTGATTACTGATGCATTTAAATAGGGATAAACAGAGGATTGTGTCTGAAAGCAAAATTATTCCAACTTTATGGGCAACAGTGTATAAATAAAGAAGCAATAAACCAACTCTCTTTAATTCATTCCGACTATTTCTCTCTCAGGTGATTAAGGATCTGAAGGGCTCAGACTACAGCTGGTCTTATCAGACCCCTCCTTCATCTCCAAGCAGCTCCGGCTCACGCAAGAGCAGCATGTGCAGGTGCTCACACACAAATATACACACGTACACACAGACATAACCATAAGCAATGTAATGCTGTGTTCTTTGCAACGATTATCAGAAAGAGGAGCTTGTTCCACTGTGACTGTCAGTCATGTCTGTCCGTGTCAGTCCATCACTACTGTTTGTCCAATCATCTTCAGTTTAGTGGAATCCAAATAAATGACCCACAGCCTTCAGACAGAGAAACTGTGGCTTGGATTTTTTTTTTTTTTATTATTAAGGGCTGAATGAAAGACAAAAATATTGGAATTTTGGCATAGATATAAGATATAGATACGATACATCAGCTTCAATCTAAAAGAGAATATAAGGGATGTTGTTCTCAGTCTCTGCTTTCCTTAAAGGTCCCATATTGTATAAAGTGAGATGTACATGTCTTTTCTTTTATCTCAACACAACTCCCTTTTTTTTATTGGTTGGCTGAACAAGTCACAATTTGATGGAGCCAGATAGTGAATGCAATCCTAGATTTGCCAGTTGTACAGACTTCACCTTGAAGGTCCCATATTGTATAAAGGTAGATGTCCATGTGTTCTTTGATTAAAAAGCAAGACTAGGTTCTTTATTAATACTGTAAAAGTATCAAAGCGCTCAGTCCACAGAGAAATGCACACAGCCTGTATTCAGAAACTGAGCCTTAAAACAAGCCATCATGTTTCTGTAACTTTGTGATGTCACAAAAAAGTAGCCACCACCCTCAGTCATGCCCCAAGCCCTGCCCACCTGGACCCACCATCCAACCTTGCAGGATTTGATTTCTCTGAGTGTTTACCTGAAATCTGCTGTATTTTTATTGGCTCACTCAGAACACAGTCAGCCAATCAGAAGAGAGACTCAGAGCCTCCTCTCTTCTGGCTGACCTGTTGTTACTTGAGCTCCAAAGAGAAGCCTGAGAGAGGAGATGTAAAACAACACTGAGATGGTTTTTGGTTCTTAAAACCACAAATATATCTTCTTTAAAAGTGTAAAATACGAGATCTTTAACTGCATATCATACAGTCAGGAACTTTGAATAATAAATTAATACTTCAACAACAATTATAACATACAATTATACTGTAAAGTAAAAAGTTTTTTCTATGGTTCTTTGTCTGACAAAAATCACTTTGTGTATGTGTGTCAGTATTTGCATGTAGTAGCATTTGCCCTTTAAACCATAAAGCATGCAAGTTCACACAGTGTTTAGTGTGTGTTTGTGTGTGTGTGCCTTGGATCCTCATAAGCTTACACACTCTCTGTCTACCCCCCTCCCTCCTCCCCCTTTTCCTCCACCACAATCATATACTCTGTACTCGTCTCTCTTTCCTCTTGTCTCTCTTCTGTTTTGTATCTTGTTTATGTGCACCCGTGACTTGCCCTCTTTCTCTCCTGCGGTGTTTGGTTACCTGGTTTCCTCTCATTTTTAATGACTGTGACTGATTTGTCACTAACCTGTTCAACCAACAACTTGATGTGAACTACTCCTGAACGTCAATCCATCACGTAAACCGATCACAAACTCCTCCAATCCTCCAACCATCAATTTATCACAACCAAACCCTCATATCTTACAAACGTTTCAACTTCCTCTTCCTGATTCGAACCATCCCTCTGACACATTCCTGTAATCATGCTCTCTCTCCCTAAACACTGTCCTTACTCCACTTTTGGCAACCATTGCCTTCATCCTACCGTCACACTCCTCACCCCTCCAACAATCCGCCCCTCCCCTTGCTCCTCTCCAACCCCACCCCCCCCCCT